GGAAGGGAAGGAGGGACAGTGCTCAGCATTCCAGACAGCCAGCTTTGCAGAATGAGCTGGATCTTGCTCTGACAGCAGCAGTAGAGCAAATGACAAGCCCTGTCAGGTAACCCATTTTTCTCCCTGGGGGAGGGACGCCATTCCAAAGCAACGATCTCTGATGTTGTCACATCCACCAGGGCAGGAAATCATAAAGCAGGAAGGCTATCATCACAGGAGATGTGGTGATACTGAGACCATAATTATGATGATCTGTGAGTGGGTACTCAGGCTCTGGGCTCACAGAAACCTTGAGGTATCTCCTCTGAGCTTGGATTACCCAGCAAGTAATCCAGAAGTCCCATTGATAATCTGTGAGTGGGGCTCAAACCTTTTAGTTGTTCTTTTATTCTGAAAGTCTATGCAAAAGCAACTCCGGTTGCTCTCAAAAGCTACATAACCGCTAAGTGCTGATGGCTGAAGCCTGTAATATTAAACAGGAGGATGAACTCAGAGAATCGCAGTTCAAAGCCAGTCTGAACATGAATATCCATGAGACTCTTTTTTCCTTTCATTGTTTTAGGTTCAGGACCAGGATTTGAACATGATGTCTTTTACTCAATGCCACTCATCCAAACCCAAAGAGTCGATTATTTCTTTTCATTATTTCCTTCAATTTTTTTTTCATGAGACTCTTATCTCTAATTAAGCACCAAAAATCTAGAAGTGGAGCAGTGGCTCAAGTGATAGTGTGCCAGCCTAAGGGTCAGTATCTAGGTCCTGAGTTCAAGTACACACACACACACACGCGCTATGTAACTCATATAAAACAACAAAAAAAAATCAAGTATTTTTCCCATTACTTCATTTGTTCACTCATTCAACAAACATTTATCCTTAATGCACCAAGATAGGATCACACTAGTCACTGAGAGAGACAAAGCACCTGGCTCACCTAAAGTTCCTTCTAGTATGACACGTGCATTGCAGACACGGACACACTTGAAGGCTGCTGACTTTGGGAGTTGTGAGGAGGGCAGGGATTACTATATGGCAGAAGTGACATTCAGGCTAAACCTTAAAAGCCTGAGAAGCAGTCAAATAGAAAGTAGAAAAGCCAGGCACTCATGGCTCACACAGGAGGTGACTCAGGAGGCTGAGATCTGAGGATCGTGGTTCAAAGCCAGCTGGGACAGGAAAGTCTGTGAAACTCTTATCTCAAACTAACCACCAGAAAACCAGAAGTGGAGCTGTGGTTCAAGGCACTTGTCTTGAGCAAAAAAGCTCAGTGGCCAGACCCTGAGTTCAAAGCCCACAACCAAGCCCCCAAAAAGAAAGTAAGGAAATTAGAGGGAGCCAGATAGCCAGTCACAAAATGGCAGAGGAGAGCTGAAGCCAGAAAGACGTTCTAGGATTGAAGCACAGATGGGAACGTGAATAGCACTGGAGGTGAGAGAGATGAAAATATTAATCAGATGATTCTCAAGAATGATAGAAATGAGGATGTTCATAGGTATTTCACATCCATTTAATCAAAGGTGGTTTCCTCAGAAATAAAAAGAGAACCAACAGAAGAGGTAAATTTAGATGTCTAAGATAACTACACAATGGGTTTTTTTTTTAATGTGAGTAATCATTATTAAAATTGTATTACATTACAAATGTAATTGTTTGTTTATGTTTTTTTGAGACATGGTCTTGCTATTATATAGACTCATGATAAAGAGCAGGCTGGTCTCAACTTTGAGTACCTCCTTCCTCTGCCTCTCAAGTATGGGAATTATAAATGTGCACCACCACATTTGGTTATACATACTTATTATTAAGTAAGGAACCTTATGTCACTCCCCAAAACATTATACTCCATCATTTGTAGCTAAAACCATAAATTTAGCAGTCAGAAATATTTTTCTTCTTTTGCTTCCTATATGACTCTGAGGTATTATTAATTACAGCCAATATTGGGAGGTAGAGATTTAAGCAGGACCCTGCTATGCTGCTGTAGGGACAGTACTGACCTCTCTGAACCTCTGTTTCCTCTAATGATACCCACCTCACAGGGCTATTGTGTGTACACAGAGAAGCAGTGTTCCAGCTAGTACTATTGTTTCTATTTTCTTGAGGAGTCCATGGGCTTCTGAAGGGGTTATATAGCCTGCATAAGCCACAGGGGCCTCAGACTTCACACTCCGATAGTGATCCATTCCATGCCTGCCTTCCTTTTCTGCCCCTCCTTTTATTTTTTCATCAGTAAATATAATTAAATTTCTACTAAAATGACTTTTTGCACACTGTAGAAACAATAAAAGTTCTTGAATCAGTGGAAACTCAAAAGGAAGTAGAGAAGACTAATTCTAACAAAAATAGCACTGGATGAACTTATTAAATAGATGCCACCATAAAGCTGGTAAAGAATAAAAAATAACAACAGATAATGGGTAAGATGTGAGCAATGTGGCATTTAGAAGTGGTATAATCTGGAGCCTAATAGCTCCTTTATCTTCTCCTCTGTAAAAACAGAGTGGCTAGCACCTATATTGTCTCAGTCAAAGTATAAGGGTAAAACTCAACTCTAAATAGTGAGGTCCACCAAGATCACATTCTGACTGCAGTGAAACAATCTGTGAATAGAAAAGGAACTTTATTCTTTCTAACAACCCATAAGCTTCCTAAAAGTACAGGTAAAGCAGACTTACCTTCCATACTCCCTCCCCCTCCCCATCATCAGCAAGTAATGGTCATCTCTTTTCAAAGTCCTGAAAGGTCTGAGCGTCATTGGCAAAAGGTTGTCAAGTACTAAGTGCATGAACTTGGCTCCTTATGGTCCAGTTACAACATTGGGCTCAGACATGCATTAACACAATGCATGTAGTGAGCTTTGATTTGAGGTCATGTGACATCAGCATAAACACAAACATAACCAAAGAGATCCAGACCTACAATAGAGCCCCAGGTTACCCTGTTTGACCTGTGTTAACAGACATGCCAGTTCCAGAAACAGACCTCCTCTCAATTTCCATCTCACTTCATGAAGCAAATACATAATGGATTCTTACTTGTCTATTCTTTCAGTAAGGAAACCATTTCTGCTTTCCAAATTCCTGACTTAGTGGTTTCATAAAACAGAAAATATCAATACCAAGCATTGGCTACAAGCAAAGGCAAACATGATTTGCTCCACTGTTTTTAAAAGATGGAGGTCATTTTGGTAAACTTCAAATCAAGCCATCCAGCTCACAGTCAGGTCCAATAAATCAGTGTGAAAAAAAAATAAATGGGAAAGCTTGCCAAAATGTAACCATAGTAACACCACAGATGCGTCAAGAAATGGTGTGTTCATTTGCTTCATCCTCATTTCTTAAATTGGAATCTAAGCAAGGGGGGGAAAAATCACCCAGGGAACAATCATGAGTCTGCAATCATGGAGTTCTGCACAATTACATCCAACCTGTGGCACAGATGACAACCTCAGAAAGCAGCCATGGGAGGGACGTGGGAACAGACCAGATCTGCTACTTCGTTTCCCTGAGACTGTTGATTCATCTGTAAAATGGGTGTTAAAGATCCCCACCTTCAGAGGGACTGCATGAGTGAAATATGATAGGCAGGAAGTAAGGGCAGGGCAATGCCAGACTCTCAGAGCCCAAGACTGGTTCCCTATAGCCTCTTCCTCATCAAAATGGAATGGAAGCCCCGACTCCACTCATTATTGATCTAAATTATACAGAGCTATCATGCAGATATTCATGGAATTAGAGTTTTTGAAGTGAGGGCTATAGACCCAGGTCAGCATTAATCACACACTGTCAGCTGCAGCTCTGCCTCTCTGTGAAAAGAAGCCACACTAGGGCCTTGTCCCAAGTCCCCTTCAGTATCCCTCCTTTCCTCTCAGAGCCTTAGTTTAATAATGAGTACAGGGGAGGACAGAGGGCTATGCAGAACTAAGCCCCACATCGTACTCTAGGCTTACCCTCCAAGTCTTTGCAAGTCTATGCAATGCCTTAGATTAGTCCCATTTGTTATTTTACAGTCTTATTGGGCAATAGCACTCTAGTACATCACTTTAAAAAAGAACTTTTAAGGAAAACAATTTACAGAAAACAAATCACAGATAAGTAGAGTAGACTGAAGCATTAAAATATTTTTCGGGTGGATTTAAAAAGTGTGTTTCTAAACCAACCAAAAAAAAAAAAACTTTCAAATTTTGAGGGACAAAGTAACAGAGAAGAGGAAAACTGTAAGTACTAAAATCAGACTCAACCTTTCCTCTGTATTGTGAATAAAACTGAACCACCTCCATGTCTCTCCAGAGTCAAATCTTATAATTAGGAACAAGTGTGGTAGAGCGTAGGACTATTGTACTACCAACAAGCTGTCAACGCACCTATCCATCCTTAGACATAGACAGACACACAGCTGCCTGCCTGCCATCCCTTCACCAGAAACTTTGGTTTTGGAGATCTCTGGCTTTGTATCTTGCTTTACAGCTTGTGATTTATCTAATGAGTATTGGAGCGGGGGGATTAGTTTGTGGAAACCATTTCTTTAAATTATTTTGACCTGTGAATTTGTTAATTTAGTTAAAGGGAGGAGAAGCATGGTACGGAGGACACAGTGTCCTGTGCGAGAGCCGCTGGGGACACAGTGATTTCCATATAGGCCGTTCTGAGAACCTGCAGCCCAGCACCCGGGTTTGTGAACATCTCTGAACACTTACACCATGACAATGCTTTCCAACTCCTGGTGTCTATCTCATGTACCCCTCACAACACTCTGATGAAACTACTACTGCTACTTTCCCACTCATTTGAAAAGGCAATGTTACAAAGGAGAGATAATTTGCTCATCTTGCAATCTAGTAAGTACCAGAATTGAAGTGAAATTCAAGTGTACCGAGACACTATGCTGTTTGTCTCCTTGTACATGATGATTGCCTGCCTCATAACATCATGAAGTGTTCCAGAACCAGCTGCTGAGCTCTTTTACTCCCCTCCATGTAATGTAAAAGACTAACTACTTACAAGGCACAGCGTGGCGGTAAAGGTTATCCCTTATGGTCTGTTGGAGCTCATGATCTGGGGACCCCTTCTGGAAGCGCTGATTGAGGAAGTGGCGCAGGTCCTTGGTGAGCTTCCCTCCTGTGGGAAAGACATAACAGAGAACAGGTCAACAGGGCTTCCCCAAGGCGTAGTCTTGGGGAAAGAAAGCCACGTGCAACCATTCTGGTCCAACCCCTGTCACTAGGAGGATGGGCTTTGGTTTCCCTTTGGAGGGAAAAAACAAGCAAGAAAGGAATAAAATACATCAGCACCAAAGCAGTGCTGTAGGCCTTGGCTCACACAATATGGAGAACACTAAAATAACTTAATCTAGGCTACTGCTAGATTAATGTCTGGGTATTCCAGACATTACAGACACTATTAGTAAGAGAGAAAAGATGGAAATCTCATGGATGCCAGTCCAGCAGTAACTGTCAACTCACAGAACTGGTGAGAGCTTCCCTAAAAGGCAGAGAACATCCTATGTGCAGGCCATTTAATGCCCTGAAAACAGACACGTGCTCCTGGGGTACCCATAACCACCTGCCTGTACTGGTCATTTTGTATGGCCCACAAACGATGTAATAAATATGCAAATAGCACAGCATAAAACCATGTTCCCACCCCTACCTACAACTGTATTAGTAACATTTTGCTCAGATCTCCAGCAGTTTACTACAGACTTTTTCTAAAAGCAAATAAACTTGAGAGAGAGAGAGAGAGAGAGAGAGAGACTGACTTATAAGCAACCCGAAGAGACTAGTTCAGTAGAGCTCAGTCCTCCACTAAAGAATGATTCTGATATTCAAAGCTCTAACTTCTGAATGATTTTATTAGTGGAGGGAGGAAATATGTGGAAGAGTTTACTATGTCTGATTCCTCCCTCATTTTCCGAAGGTATAAGCCTGGCTCGGTGGATTCAAGTCTATAGTACTAGTTACTTGAAGGTGAAGATCAGAGGATTGCATGTGGCTTGAGGCCAGGCCAGGAATTAAGAGTTCAAGAGTCTCTATCCTAACCATGGCATCCCCCTTGGGCATGGCAGACATGGGCATGGTGCCACACACCTGTCATTCCCAGCAACATAGGGAAGTCCAAGAAGAATGACTGTAGCAAGACTCTACATCAAAGTGGGAAAGGGGGCTGGAAGCATGACTCAAAAAGTAGAGAGCCTCCTTAGCAAGCATGAGGCCCTGAGTTCAAGCCCCAGTGCTGTCCAAGAAAAAATAAACTGAAATGTATGAAAACTGCATGTATTAATTCTATTATGGGTCACCATACAATGTTTAGATTCATGTATACACTGTACAATGTTTAAGTCAGGTTAAATATGTTTATCTCCTCAACCATTTCTAATCTGGTTATGGGAACAACATTGAAAATCCTGTCTTCTAGCTTTTCAAGATGTACAGTACATTATTATCTCTAGTCAGCACATGAGTTTTCTTGCTCTTGGCTAACTACTTTCCACCCCCTTTCCAGCCTGCCACCCCAGCCTGTGATAACCACATTCTTTTCTCTAAACTACCATGAGATCTATTTTTATAGATTCCACATAGGAACAAGATCATATGGTGCTTGGGGTGTGTCCTTGTGTGTGTGTGTGTGTGTGTGTGCGTGCACATGCGCATGTGTGTATGTAAAAGACATTTAGAAAAGAGTGTTGAAAGGAATTTCAGTAGTAAGAGCATAGGTTGAGCACATATGATGCTCTCAAGAAAGGAGAAAGAGAACAAGGAGGGAAAGGAAAGAAGGAAGAACATGTATTAGAAGCAATTATGAGAAAACTTGGACAGCTATTCCCTTTAGGGAGAAAAACTTAGGCCCAGGAGGTAAAGATGACTGCAATCTCTACTTCATAGTTCATGTTGATCTATCCATCTCCTTGTTTTCCACTGCCTTTCAAGCACTAAGTACCTAGTGTTTTTTTAAATTATTTATTGTTGTAGCTTTAGCTCCAGTTGTCTAAGTAGGTCTATGGGTTTATTCTTTTGAAATCCTCAGTATTTAACAGAACAAAAGAAAAGCTTAAAGAATACTACCTTGTTACCAAAAAATGTGTCTTAGAAAAGAGATTTTCATTTTCAAAAACTATAATCACAAATTACAGTCTACAGGATCAATAGAAGGCTTATGGACCAACCCAGGTAGCATTCACTTCTAATGGAGAAAGAGGCTTCAATGATAGCAAAAGGGAACGAGACTAAGATTGTGCTTTTGTTTTTAGACAACATAAACCATTATGGAGTATTTTTATCCTTAGAGAAACAATGAAGCTCTCACCCTAATAGTAGGAACCACAAACCTCATGTCATTAGATGGTAACTCCCCCCTAGGTAAAAAGAGTAAATCAGGAAAGGGATGGTAAGGTCTAGCAAACATGAGGCCCTGAGTTCAAACTCTACTGATGTCAAAAATAATTTACATAATTGGGATTTTTTCAAAGGCAAGAAGACAGGGCATGGCTGAGTAGGTCACACCTGTAATCCCAGGTATGTGGAAAGAAGAGATGAGAGGGTTGAGTTTTGAAAGACCAGCCCAGGCAAAACTTACTAATACTCTGACTCAGAAAATATGCCGGTGAGCAATGCCTATAATCTCAGCAGAGGCAAAAGTAAAAGGATCAGTTTTAGAATCATTTGCGGTACTGTCAAAAGAAAGGGGGGGGGGGAGCCTGAGGGCACAAAAAGGAATCCTTTGAGGAACTGTTCAATATAGCCTTTCCTGTCTGTAGAGGTGTAATGTGGTTTGTCAGAACTTACAGAACAATATACATTCAACAAATGCATTGTTATATGTGCACTGTACTGCAAGAAAGTTGGTTTCAGAAGTTTAAAATACACATAAGGATTGAGTGGCTCCTAGGGTTAGGCATGGTTCTAGATCTTCAGTTCTCAATTTCCACAAAGGAGTGCACCTGAAGGAAGAGAACAAATCTGAGCAGCTGTACAGGCTTAGACATGAATCTTAGCTCTGTGTTTTTAAATCTGGTAAGCCTAGGCCCAAGGCTTCAAATGCACTTGCCTCATTTGTAAAAATAAATCATGACATAATAGAACTCTATCACATGACTGAGGTGAGGAGAAAGGAGAATGACACATGTAGAGCGTGGCTAGCCATGAGAAAGCACTTACAGACAGACGGAGACTGTAATTGTCCAAATGTCAAGTGGGCAAGTGTAGAGGTGGGGTCAAAGAACTAAAGTCAGTGCAAAAATGAACTGAGGTTATATTGTGAAAAGCGCACATAACCATAAAACCTACCCTGCTGACATAGAAAGAGCCAGAAACAAAACACAAGTTTAGGGAGATTTTTGGTGTTCCTAGAAATGAATAAAAGTCCACTTGTGTTAAAGTGGTATGGATTTATGTTACCTGCAGCTGAACTTCAGGAAACAATCTAACCAATCTGGTATCTAATAGTCACATTTATATATAATTATATGATTTTCTATATATAATTCTAGCTCAAGGTATAAGGCACTCCAGAATTTGAAAAGATGACAGTGTTTACCAGCAAAAATCCCATTGCCTACCAACTGCAGTCTTCTAGTTCTCTTAGAACACAACCATTATCTATCTATCTATCTATCTATCTATCTATCTATCTATCTATCTATCTATCTATCTATCTATCTATCTATCTAATTGTTTAATTTATGTCACTATTGTGCTTCTACTCATGGCTTTGTATTCTTCCTCAGTTTGCTTGCTTGCTCACAGCCTGTACTCTACCACTCAAACCAAGTCTCCATCCTAGCTTTTTGTTGGTTACTTGGAGATGAAATCTCATGGACTTTTCTGCCCAGGTTGACTTCCAACTGTGATTCTCCAGGTCTCTACCTCCTGAGGAGCTAGGAACACAGGCATGAATTACGGATGCTCAGCTAATGGCAACAGTTCCTAATATTAAAAGCTCACTGGCAGGTCCATCTGAGCCATCCATAGCAACCAATACAAACGTATTGCTAAAGTCCAAAGCAAAAATTCCAAGACGACTCAGGACACATTATCTCTTTTTCTACATATAACATAATATAGATTCATACATATTCACAGATTCTGTAGGGTACTTATCAAGATAAACCAGGGAGTTGCAGGCTGGACCCTTATAGCTTACACCAGAGTTTATTTCCCAACTAGCCAAGCTGTGAGGGTTTATGATTGTCCAACTCAACACCCCCCCCCCTCCCTTGATGTACACAAGGGAAGGGTTAACCATGCTACCAATTAACATTCACTCTGTGGCCCATGACATTTGGATGGATGCACAAAGCTTCAACCTTCTCATTCCATTAATAATACTGTATTTTGGGCATCCAATTTCAAATTAATTGCCAATTGTTCAGTGGACATGTCTATAAATCTTCTCTTAATTGCCAAGGGCAGTGAGCCAATGAGATAATAAATTGCAAGACAGACTTTGTCACATGCTCAAGTCCTTTGAAATTCAAGATTTGCTCTATAAATGACAAAATAAAGACCCTAGATTAGGAACACATGCAACCTTTTCCCAAGAAAAAGATACAGGGTTGCCAATGTGTGCACTGGTGGCTCAGCCTGTAATCCTAGCTACTTAGGAGGCTGAGTTCTGAGGTTCTCAGTTTGAAGCCAGCCTGAGCAGGGAAGTCCATGAGACTCTTATCTCCAATTAATCACAAAGTGGTACAGTGGCTCAAATAGTACAGTGTTAGCCTTTAGTGAAAGGAGCCCAGGGACAGCACCCAGGCCCAATGTTCAAGCCCCAGAATTGCAAAAGAAAAAAAAAAAAAGATCCAGGGATTGCTGTCATTAAAGTGGAGGAAATGGGACTTGAAACTCTATCAAGAATTGCCATAATAAGATATATTTCTCTATCTTCCCTATATTTAACTTTCCAACAATAAATACAACATTGTTTTAAAATTCATACTAGTTTACAGAATTTTTTTAATTTTTAGTTTTATTCATTTATTTTTAATTTCTATTTATTTATTTATTTGTCTGTCATGGGGCTTGAACTCTGCACCTGGGCACTATCCCTCAGCTCGTCAGCTTTATCACTTGAGCTACTTCCAGTTTTCTGGAGGTTTTTATTGGAGATAAAATTTTATTGGAGAT